CTTCCCGAAGGTAATTAATTACGTCTGTCCTCTTTGATCGATTTTGGTTTTGAACCCCGAAAATCTGTGGTCAGGTTAAGCCAACTGGAAACACCGCACCTGGGAGTAACGAGATGGTCGCCTGCGTTTTAGGTCCCTACGAATATGGAATGTAAATCGGTGTTCAGAACAAAACTTCAGTTATACCCACGCAGCCACTGCCATATGTGTCACCATGCCTGGAATGCCACTGCCTCACGTCCGGCACGCCTGGAAAACTTACCTTAGCCTCACTGCCCCGTTCTGAATTTAGTCTCTGCGTCAACCAAACTCACCTATCCACCAATCGCTCTTCCATCCACCGCGATTTCCATTGATCTCCTCTCCTCTACCATCCTATCACCCCTACCAATTCATCCTCCTCTCCTGCCTGGAACAAGGGTCGTTTGGGCCCCGCCACACAGTCACCATTCCCTGCCCACCTGGACCCCTGGCTGTCTCACCAGCACCACCACCTTACCAACTTGAACCCTCACTGTCCTCTCCTGGTCATACCACTCAATTGATGCCCAGTCGGGCCTGCACCTCGCTGCCACCTCCGCCTGTGTGACAGGTACACAATTCAAGGGCCTTGGAAAACAATCACTGTCTGGATCGCCACCCAGCAAACCAACCTTCAGCGCCCAACTCGACTTGTTTGTAAAAACATCAGTGAGAGCTTGCAGAAGCAACATCAACTCATTTTGGACACCCTGACCCAACAGGGGCAGCACTTGCAGCTCCTGGATGACCTGCCTCCTTCCACTTGAGATTGAGGACCATCCTGCCTACACTCTCCTCCCTCTCATTTTTTCTCAATGAGAATGGCAATTCTCCTCTCTGGAGCTCCTGCGCCCAGCCCCTCCTGGACTCATCTCTCTGTGGAGTGCCAAGTTCCTCCTCTTCTACACACGGAACATCCCAGGACTCAGACTGCTGGACAGGTTCCCGCCCAGTTTAGCCCATCAGTAGATGTTGCCTACCAGAAACCACATGATGTTGTTCCACCGCCTCACTGGCTGGTACTTGCTTACACCTGCCCGGTACTGTGGCAGTGCTCAGGCCTCCCTCACTCCCTGCAAAATACTTGCTCACCTGTTCGTCTCCCTCACCTGGACTCACATGGAACTCTGTCTGAATTTTCACTTTACTCTTGGTGAGTATCCACCCTGTGTAGTCATCAATGTTCACGAGTACTTTCTGGACTCTGTGTTCTTCACGACCTCCATGATGGATTCCACTATTGTTCCTCAAGACTTTAATGCACCGCCATCCCACCATGTACCCGAATGGATCACATCTCAAGTTTCACGGGGACGACGATGCCGCTTTTGTCCTGGACGATCCTGGCTCGCCTCCCCATAGTTTCCTCATGGCTTACTATTGAAATCCAACATAGTCTTCATCCCACCGCACCACGAGCCTCCGTCGGCGATCCATCTTGCCGTTACTGACCATCTCAGGCTCTCCTTCAGCCCCATCAGCCTCATCGATCCCCCTGCCTCTTCGTCTCACAACAAGATGCTGTTCCTTCTCAATTCACTGTTCTCTACCTGGCGGACTCGGCGTTGTTCCCGGTCTCCTGGCCTTGGCGCTGAGCTTTTGCGATGCCGTAGGCGACTCTCTCGGATCGCACTTCATCGCCCTCCCCGTCACCCCAGGCCACCAACCAGGCGGTATCCCCATGGAGACATCTCCGCGCAGGTATCCCCAGATTCCACCATACGGAGGTCTCGGCTCAGAGGACTGGGAAGATCTTCAAAAATTGGTGTCTCTTTGGTAACCCAGGAGCGCTGATGCGCGCAGCTTTCACCCGCCGTCTTATCGTCTGAAGTCGCCACCCCCTGTGGGCGGGAACGATTAATGCGCCGGGTACTGACGGAGGCCTCCTCCCAATTTTGGTCTCGCCCCTTTGCCTGCTCTAATGAAGGACGGGCATCAGCCTCCCCCTGGAGGCACTTTGATCCAATGCAGGAGGCAGTGTATTCTACCATGTTCTGAGCCTGCTGTTGTAAGCGTTTCTACCTCCCTGCCCCCACTGATCATCCCATCACGTTCGAGCTAAGAAAGCCTGTCGTTCTAGAAAGAACACTTCCTGGGGATGATCAGAATCCCATCTGGGTTCCTGAACGTCGTACTAATATTCCAACGGCCTGTTGTTTCACATGTCTTATGAAATTACAAGTTCTCTCTGTCCGAACTGGAAAATACTATTATCCTCTATCCTGCTGGAGATCCGGAAGACGACCATTGAATCTTGGGCCTCCTGTGTTTACAAGATGATGGAGAGGATGTTCATCGTCGCCTCTTCACACCATAGGAGGCTTCCAACTCTCACGAAAGCTCTATCGAACATCGCAACAGCACACCCATTGCTCTTTATTGGTAACAGACTGCCTTGTTCTGCCTCCCTCGATATCAGGTAGCCTTTGATACGCCCAGCCTCATTTTGCCTGAAAGAAGCTGCGAGACTTCGCCACGGATCGCCTCTACTTCGGACGTCAGCCTGCCTGCGCGAGCGCCTACAGTTCCTGTTCAAGAAATGAACCTGGTACCCCTGGGCGAGTCCCAGTCCCCACCTGTTTAACACTCTGCACTCCATTGTACTTCCCGTATTGACAGAAGCAGTCCACCAGGATATAGCCACGACGATGTCCTCCTCCAAAGCCCCTGGATCACCTCAGCATGCAGGAGCCTTGATCTGGTCTCCAGAGAGTGGACGGCTTCCTCTTTCAACCAGAACAAAGCCGCGTGCGCTGGTCGTGTTGTACCCACCTTCTGGTCAGGAACGCCTGACTGCCATCGATACAGGCCACTCCGGTGTGGCACCTGCAATATCGCCACATCCTGTGTCCGCCATTTCGAGATAGTGCTGGCGTCTCGCTCCTCGCCCGCGCAGGTTTTTGGTGCCACCATCCCTGTACTTTCACCATAAGTTCCACTGTCTTAGGCGCCGACTAGGTCATGCGTTCCTCGTCATTATCGGATCGTTGTCATCCGTTCCGAAGTTATCCAGAGGAAAGCTGTTTCATCTTAGTTCAGCACGTTTAATTTCTATATACCGAACTTAGTTTTACCCGCAGATCGTGCGTTTGACCAAAACCGTTGTTTCCATTCTACGGATCCCGGGCAACCATGTTCAAACCAACCTGACTCTGCTGTCCGGAGACCGGGATCTCCATCTAGAAGACAGGGCGAGGTCACCCGAGCCCTTCAGGAACACACGACCTCCTTTTATCGATATTGCTGGTCACCCTCGTTGCTTGTCTGTCTCCTCCTGGCTGGATTTTCAACCTGAAGTAATGCTCTGGTGGATCGCCCGAAATCCCAGGTAAACCCTGTTGTTTCTGCAAATACCACTTCCAGAATGCCCACCAGTCTGTGGTGGACGGTCCTCACACGAGTGTCTCTTGCTGACCCCGCTGCGTAAAGCCGCTGGTGGCTCACATCTCTGTCCTCATGCCCTGGTTTCATCAAACTGCCCTCGCAGTTTGACGCATCTCCACCAGCCGAACTGGCTGCCTCCGCTCTTTCGCCGAGGAAGAAGCAGAGAGCTGCTCCTGCTTATTCTGTTGCGACTCCAGGCACCGCTTCACGGGGATCGTATTGATCAAGGGAAAATAAGGACCGTCTCGGAATACGAGGGTTAACATCTGCACCGATGAAGCCGTCCCAGATTATCTTGGCGGATACCTTAGTCATGTCGGTATTTGGAAGAGGTGGCAGAGCGAGCCTGCCAAGACTGCTGCAACAAGGCCACCGACTGGCGGTTCACGAACACTTGACATTAGAATCCAACGTTTAAACAGAGAGAAGCTGGGAAGGAAACATTCCCTGGTTCCCCGCCCACCTAGTACGAGTGCCCTCCGTACCTGACCAGCGTACGCTACGGGAAAGTGGTCGCGGAAAGGGGACGACAGCACTGCACACTACGGGGTATGATTTGCTTGGGAGAGGCTGGGTGTCCCCATCCTGGAGTGCCTTTGTGCATTATGAAAGCATCTTATGTTAACCCTGTTCACTACCTCCAGATGCCTATCACAACGCTTCCGTGACGCCTGCCGGACCTACCACCTGACGACCTGACGGAGCACGTTTATCCTCCCATACCGGGCCAGATATTTGTAAACAATATTGATTATGTGTGCCAGCGAAGACCCTTAGGCTTTTAGTAAGCCCCTTGGCAAGAGTTTGGTACTGTATATACTTCGTTTCAACACTTGCCAGAGTGCTTGCGCCGTTGTACAGGGTGCCTGAAAATAGAAAGAATTAGATCCCGCTTCCTGACAAGAAATAAATTGAAAATTGAAATTGAAGCAGCGAGATGGATAAATAACATTATTTTTGTTATACCTGTATTAATATAAAAGAAAATACCGTTTGCTCATACGTATATTTTTATGTCCATTCTTATATGCACAAATAACTAAATATTTCTGTACTATTGAAAATACAAATTAATATTTCAAAATAATTAAGAAGTAATACATGTGGTTTAGTTTTAGTGAACATCAAGTATGTATAGTAATAACACGTGACAAACATAAACTTGTCAAGGCGTAACTCAAGAGGTCGCTCGCTACACGGCCCAACCACCTGACAACTGGCAGCTTTACCTACACAAACCTGATTAAGAAATACGGTTATAAAAAAATCCCCTAATTGGCAGTAAATGACTTTATTATCACTAATACTTAAGCCCACGTGAAGTTTAGGCACATTAGTTTAAGTGAAAAACACTAACGCTATTTTGGTGTTAGGTTAGGATACGTTAGCGTTTGGATGTTTCATCATTATGAATAGGCTACGTTATCGTTCACGGCAAAATAAGCTGACAGGCTGAATTATCATTCAGGGCTGTTTTGAGCTATTTTGCTAGTCCATTCTTTATGCCTAATCATTAAGTGAAATAAGCAGGGGGTTTGGACCTAACCTTCACATGATCCAACACCTGAACATTACTTAAGTAAATGGTAACTTACTTTATCACATAGGTGGCCAAGGAGGAATCACAGTGAGGGAGAGCGAGGAGTGTCGGGGCTCAAGCCGTGACGTCTATCCACGTCGACTCCCGCCAAGTAAGTGATGGGCGAGACCGCGAGGGGGAGAAGAGGGCTCTGTCCGGTGATGCCACGACAGAGAGCGTACCAATCACAGCCTTCAAGAGGTATAATGCTGACCAATAAGAACAGACTTGTTATATGGAGGGATGGAAACTATGACGTGGATGGTGGCAATAGGTGGACACGTGACACTTCCTGTAGGATCTGCTCGGAACATTCAAGTGACAAATACGTGTTGATGAAGAACTTGTACCATATTCTGAAGTTTAACGAGAACGTCTTAAGATTTAGGCGTTAAAGATGTTAAATAAATAGAAAAATATATTATTTGCCCTAGCGTTGATAAATATAATGGGATTACTACTTACTGGCAAAGATAACGTGTTACATTGTAGATTCTTTACGAGTCAAAGATCACCATTAATGAGGATTAGAGAGAGATACAGCATTCAGTATTTCAGTCATGATTATCTATGAATGCAGTTGGAATACGCTTAAATGGTACATCAGCTCACATTGCAGCGGTCTAACATCAGTTTCACCGATTATTTAATAGATGAAAACAAAGTAATGAAAACGTTCACTTTTCAGATTCTCTCTTGTCATTCTAAAAAATGCATCAAGTGAAATCAGGCTGTGCAGATTAGTAGTGCCCGGCAGCCCGGCATTTTTTCACGTCCATGTGCACGACTACCCGTCGGACAAGCTAATATTTTGAGAGGAAAAAACTTAAGACAGGAATTGTTGTCAGTGAACCAAAATCACTGTGTACGTTTAACCAGGGACCGTTAACCGCTTCTCAGTGTACCAGGACCTTTGCCAGTTGCAGGTAATTTATCTGTACATTAATTAAGCCGCCAAACCGCCTCTAGTCAGTCGGTGTCAAAACAACTCAAAATTTTTCAACATTTCAAAGGAACCACCAAGCAGAGAGGCTGTAGACGTGATGTGACAGGAGTTAAGACCGCACTTGAGGAAGGCTTCATATATAGACTGGACAAAGGAGGTTTAACCCTCTTGGACTAAACAGATATATGAATGACATAGGTTGAGTGAGTGTAACTGTATATGGGGCTGCCTAGTGGTGAACGGAAATAAAGACCACAGGAAAAAAGTCACATGACTTGTACACATTGACAACACAATATATATATGATGGCATTGCACGTAGGTTAGGTTAGCTTAGGTTAGGTTTTTTCCGTGCCTTTTATCTGTGACTTTTTTTCCTGGATTCTGCCTCGTATGGGTCAATAGGCCCGTTGCAGTTTTCTCCATTATACACACAATAAATGTGTATGTTTTAAGATGTTTATCTAACTTTTCTCATAAAAAAATCTGGGCAAGCAAATTTCTTCCAGAAACTTGTCAGGACAAATAAAAATAATATATATACAGTACAGTATACCCGGACAAGTATATTTCAAGTCACTTGGTCGGGGCAATATGGCAGGAAATGAGTAGGGCAGCAAAATATAACAACCTGTGAATTATGGGGGATTTCAACTTCAGAAATATTGACTGGGACAACATTGTAGGTGACTATGAATCTGAAGACTTCCTAGACGCAGTACAGGAAAAATTTTTGAAACAACTAATTACAGAACCTACGAGAGGTGACAATATATTAGACCTAGCATTAACAAATAAAGAAAATATTATCAGAGATATCACAGTAGGGGAAGAACTAGGTAACAGTGATCACAGAGAAATCAGGTTTACCCTAAATTGGGAAACAAAAAACAATGACAATATGGTCAGAGTCCCAAACTTTCGGTTGGCGGATTATCAGGGATTAAGAAGGTGTGAGTTCGGTTATATGTTGACTTAGGAAACAGCCCTGGATCGTCTCGAGAAAATCCTCTGATTCTGAGTTACCCGTAAGGTCAGTCCAATCTATTTGGCCAAGGTTAAAGTCGCCTACTATACAGACTTTGTTGTGTATGAAAGCCCTGCGCATTTCATCCCAGATAAGTCGCTCATTGACTCTATCAAGATTGGGAGGTCTATATATTACTCCTGCGATTAATTTTTCCCTACCGTAGCTCAATTCCATCCAAATTATTTCTGTATTCCGCTCAGTTTTTATTTTCTTATTTATTTCACACTTCAGATTATCCCTAACATAGATTGCTACTCCGCCTCCTTTCCTGGTCTGCCTATCGGTATGGAACAATTTGTAACCCGCAATTTGGTATTCGACCGGCAACTCACATGAGTCTAGGTTGATCCATGTTTCAGTGAATGCTATTATATCGATTTTTTCGGTACATACCAAGGCCCTAATATCATCCATTTTGTTTCTCATACTTCTACTGTTCGCGTAATAGACATTTAAGTTAGTCGTGTTCTGAGTCCTCCCTTTACCGCGTTTAGTTTAGTTCATAATCTACATAAACGATCTAGATACTGGGATCAGCAGTGACATAAGCAAGTTTGCTGATGACACCAAAATAGGGCGGCAGATTAATTCAGGGCAGGATGCAAATGCATTATAGGAGGATCTAAATAAACTGCAGGGGTGGTCTGAAAAGTGGCAAATGAAATTCAACACCAGCAAGTGCAGCGTACTTAATATTGGAAGAACAAATACTGACAATGTATACAGCCTTAACAACATCAACCTAGAGAAGTCGACTTGTGAAAGAGACCTAGGGGTACTTGTAAGCCCGGACCTACGGCCTAGAAAACTTAACTTGCATTCCCTAGAAAGACGAAGAGTGCGGGGAGATATGATAGAAGTATTTAAGTGGGTGAAAGGAATCAATAAAGGGGATATAGATAAAGTTCTTATAATATCCGAGCAGGATAGGACTCAGAGCAACGGATTTAAGTTGGATAAGTTTAGGTTTAGGAGGGAGATAGGAAGAAACTGGTTCACAAAGACGGTGGTGGATGTAGGTTATGTATCTAAGCTACTGTGCCGAGTTGCATTTATATATGTAAATACGTGGCAACACTGCACGTGTTATGTGGCATCATTGCCCCGAGGCTGCCATATGGCAAGGCAGTCTCAGTCTGACTCAGTGCCTCTTACAGCCTACCCATCACTACCTTCTTCAGGGAACACTTGGAACCCTTCGAATCCTACTCACTGCGCCATGAAGGTTCCAAGTGTTCCCTGAAGAAGGCAGTGATGGGTAGGGAAACACCGGGTAACACTGAAGTCCATTTATTAACGAATAGGAGAAATACAAGTGGTGCCTAGCGTGTGCCTTGCACGAGGCACGGAGTCAGACTGAGACTGCCTTGCCATATGGCAGCCTCGGGGCAATGTTGCCACATAACACGTGCAGTGTTGCCACGTAATTACATATATAATGCTACTCGGCACAGTAGCTTAGATACATAACCTACAGTGGACGAGTGGAACAAGCTTAGCAACTTTGTAGTAAGTGCTGGAACTCTGGAAAGTTTCAAAAGGGGGCTAGATAGATTCATGGATGATAGAGAGTGGTAGTAACTCTCGACAGGAGCTGCCATGCACAGGCCAACCGGCCTGTTGCATACTCCTTATTTTCTGATGTTCTTATTGTTACGAGTTGGGGATTTAGAATATAGTTAAAAGTCTACCCAGATCCCAACAGGCAACAACAAAAAAAAACAAAGACAATCGGACTATAAAAGGGTAGACAAAGGATGCGAGTTTTTGTTGTGTATAATAAAGTACCATGAATTCCTTAACAAAATATTCAGCTTTCTATAATTTACCCTTAACTATACTTAACCTAAACATTAACAGTATATACATATTTATACAACATACAATAATTTGAAGCAAGGTGGAGGTGGGGGAGGCAATATAAGATTACAAATACTGTACTTAAGTGCGGAGCTGAGATGGCTGACGAGTAAGGCTGAGTATTGTAGAAGATGGTAGGTTAGTCACTGTGCCGTAGGATTCCAGGATAGGTGATCCTGTGGTCACTTCCCAGAGTGAACTGAACTCTCCTCGAACTACAGTAGAGCTAACAAAGAAGACTTTGAGGAGGTGACCAACAACCAGGATATGGAGAAGGGAAACCCGGGAGTGGTAACTAAGACGAGTCATACTCGTGTTTCGTCCCTAGATGGCGTTGCTCGTGGTGCTGGGTAGGTAGATCAGGACAATAGATGGCGTGGTTCGTAGTGCTGGGTAGGTAGATCATGACAATTGGTGGCGTGGTTCGTAACATTATGTTCTAAATGTTTGACATAATTTACACAGCCTGGGCTGAACTAGAGCAGTTTATATATATGTATATATATATATATATATATATATATATATATATATATATATATATATATATATATACAGAGAGAGAAAGAGCTGGCTACTGCAGGATGGAGGGAAAGAGGAGGATGCTCGTTCCTTTGTTGTTAGCGTCAAATAAGGTTGCACCATATCCTGTGTCTTACACAGTTACTGAGTATAAAACTTGACTACAAATACATATCAGTTTCCTAATCAGTTGAAATAACCTGATAATGGGTAGAAGGATGCATGTTCATGTTTAACAGAATTTTGTGATCCAATTCTCAAAAGTCTCTTGATTCTATTATCTAGATGGATCACCTTAAGATGGAACCCCAGCATAATTATTTCACCTGATGATTAACATACAGCTAAAACACTATCTGGGAAGGAGGGTTAAACTAGGTTAGGTTAGCATTAGAGTGTTTATTCTTCGGGTGAAATAAACTGTACACTATTTGCACGAAACCCTGTAAATGCAACCACATGAATTGTTTCAAGGGTTTAAAATAAGCATTTTGTTTACAGTACAAGAATCATTACTAAATAGGGAATGTCGATTTAACCTTAAAAAAAATAGCTTGTTTGCCGAAAAGGTTTAACTTATTTTTTTATTTCTATAAATTAATGAAAATAATCCATGTAAATTAAAATTTAATCTCTAATTTAGACACCGACTACCATCATAAGATAGGTAAAACTATACCTAACGTAGGTTTGGTTCGCTTTCTATGAAACTTTAAAAATATATTTATTAAGATTGTTTACATGATCGTCTATGGTAAGTGAACAGTTCAAAAATAGTTATCGCCATTAGGCAAATATCCTTGGAGTGTAT